TGCGCTGATGAGCGCTTGGTGACTGGAGCTCTAAACTGCTTTATGTGATAATAATCTGTTGGGATATCTAAACTGAGCTTATTCTCGTCTTTGCATCTCTGGCCTCCAGTGCGGACTTCGTGTGATCTCTTATTGTATGTGAATGTGTATGCACTCATGGTGACGAGCGGAGAGGCTCAATGCAGTAAATGGAGGACTCACTGTCGGCTTGCCATTCCTATACGCCCCCTTTTCAGATCCTTTCCCAAGTCTGCCAGACTAAACCACCAATACATTTCCCAGCCATTTTTCTCTGACGCAGCTGCATGCACTCCACAACTTTCAGGGGTTGGCTGCTGGAGCAAAATGGCTGGGGAAGCAAGCCAAAAGGAGGCCTGTGCTGGTTCGTTTTTCTTTGGCCCGCAGGGCGTTTCTAGCTCTGGGAAAAAATAAGTGGCTTGGAAGAACTGGTGGTTTAAGGTTGATAGTCAGGAATGAGATTACACCACCAGTACCTCTGAAAGTCGCTCCCACATGCGGCCGCGATTTTGGGAGGACGAATGGGCCACTACCGAAGCACCGAAATTCGCCGAGCCGAAACGCTTCCAGTCTGTTTTTTCCCTGCGGCCGATATATATGGGAAAGATACTGGCGGTCTAAGGGCTACTCTCTGGCTCTCATGTGCATACGGGATCCTGGGTGCCTCTTGCAGAAGGCTGTCAAAGGTATGATGAAACCAGGAAAAGACCTTGGTGACTGCGGGAGAAACCATAAAGACCATTAAAACCGTGTCCGTGTGCACCTGAACGTGCACTGAGCCAGGTGCAGTCTAATGTGTCTGGATGCGATGGGTACGGAGGTACATTTTCCTGGACATTGGTGACCGTGAGAGAAACCATAAAGACCACTAACCCGTGTTAGTATGCACCTGAATGTGCACTGAGCTAGGTGCAGTCTCATGTATCGGGATGCCCATGGGTACGCAGGTACATTTTCCTAGTGCATTTCTGACGAAAGGGGCATACAGGAAATTGCCCTATCAAGCTACGAGAGTGTGCTTATTGTCCACATCTAACAGTCAGGGTTATGGCATTATATTACACACCTATGGTTCGGACCAAAGTGGATATGTCCGAGTACCTGTGGGCCTGCACGAAGACGACCCCTCATATGTTTCTTTGTCTGAGGCCACCCTCTTCTGCCGAATAGAACGCACGGTCATTATAGCTGTATCTGGGGCGACTTTCAGTCTAGAGACAGTGATAATGACCATATGTTTATGAAGGGGAAGATGGCAGGTAGGTGGGGAACAGGCTGGTCGTGGGGGGTGATTAGTGAAGGGCCACAAGTGGATGCTTTGCACCTTCAAATCCTTGCAGGCTTGCGCAGTAAAGGGTGATATACCATATGTTTTTAATGATTTCAAAGTCTATGTTTTTATTACAGTGGCATAAGTAACCTTCAAGGGAAAGATACACGAGCTGATAAACCACCTGTTTGCAAGGGGCATTTTTTTTTCACTGGGGGATATTTTTCCAATTGATTGTGAATCGAACTGGGGGGAGGCCGGGCGATACATGGAAAGTGCGGCCTCGTTGTGCACGGCTGCAAAATTTGCCAGGCCCTCTCCTGAAGGTTATGCCTCTGGGCCTCTTTTTCCCAATGGGCAATGTTGCCCATACCTAAAGTGCCACTAGCCAGCGCTTCGGTCCTGTAGGCCGAGCCTATCCGGAGCATCCTGTTACACCACAACTGCTGAGACAATTCCTCCTAGACTTGCGGCCGTATACAGGGAGGCCACACTTAGATGTACTGTCGGCTTGGTGGCAACCGGTTTGACTTGTTTAAACCACCAGTGCTTCCTAGAGTCGTGCCCGTTAACACGCCACAATTTTAGGAAACGTACGGGCAACTACAGGAGCGCCCAAATTCATCCGACTAGAAACGTTTCTACTCTATTTTTTCCCGCGGCCGATGGCTGGGCCAAGTACTGGTGGTTTAAGCGGAAGAATTTAGGTTGGATAGGATAGGATTGATGGTGGTTTAGTTTAGAATTGCAGTTCGGGCATGTCAGAGAGGGGCAGGACACTGGACCTGGTTTCCAGCAATGTGGTCTTTCTCGGATTGTCGCATGATCATGGTCTTCTCATTTTTCACCTATGTATTTCCAAGCGCAAGGAAAATGAGCGATAGCGAACTTCAGAAACCAAGCAGCATCATACACATGAGACCAGATAGTCGTGACCTCGAACCAAAAGCAGAATTGCAACACGAGTCCCACCAAATAAGAGCACAGCAAAAGCTCATGAAGGGCCCTGGCGCTACACACAGGAAGAATGCGCCAGGTCGAGACCATACACAGACGAAGAGGAGGGGATCAGACGAAGAAGAGGGGGAAGATGGGAATGTCGTCAACACCAAGTCTTCGGTACAAGTCCCAGATAATCCCTCGTCAAATGTCTGAAGCCCAATGTCGAGTTTGGATCCAAATGTCACCAATCCCGCTCTCTCATAGTTTGTTGATGCAGTGAAGTCAGGTAGCGAGAGGGTGAGGGGGAGATGGTGGACTGAGAAGAGGAAGAAGAAGAACTCTCTCTCTCTCTCTCTCTCTCTCTCTCTC